TCAAAAACAGAATAATTAAGAATTTCAAGATGGCAGCTGCAAAACCCTAAACTCAGGTATGGGGCTATCTTCTGAGCTGAGCCCTGTGTGGCTACACTGGTCACATGTCCTTAAAGCCAGCCTTGCCCTCCATCTAGATTTCAGTATCTTGGAGTATGAACACTGGTCGTTTTGCCTCTTTGAATCTTCATTGCCCTTGTGCTTAACTAGGACATTGAATTAGCAGTAGCTTGATGAATTGTTGTTAACTGGTTATTTTTCAACATAAGAAAATAAGTAAGGGATTGTAGGCCTCCTATTCCATTGCTGAGCAGCAAGTGAAAAAACTTCCCTGGTCTGGGTGAGGGGAGCTGGTTCTTTATTTAAACCCAGTGGGACCTCTGAAGAAAAAGTGCACTCCAGAATAAGTCCCAGAGGATAAGCTCTATTAAGCATTTCTGGGAATTGGAGACTTGGGGGTGTGGGTAGGAGGAGAATATAAGTGAATAAACATGGAAGCTCACAATTCCCTGAGGCTCCTCTGAGGAGCCAATATCTTCATGTGAGGATGTGTTTACCCAGAAGTGAAAAGATTACATGTGTGTATGTTTTCTAATCTAGGGTTTAGAAAAGGAAACCAATTCAGATCAGTCACCCTGCAGAAAACTCAGTGATTCACAAAATCACACTTCATTGTTCAGTGGCCTTAGAGCAAATTCTCTACTTGGTCCTCTTCCACCAGGGAAGCCACAGAGGCAGGTCAGTGTGGGAGCCGCTGGGTCCCCAGGTCGGCTCTCACAGATGTCACACCTCAGTGCTCACCATCTGGGGTCTGATTTTCCCCTTCCAGGGTTCAGTTCAGTCCTTCCCAGGCCTCAGTGCTACGGCGGAAGGAACACACTTTCAGCATGGGCGCTGTCACACTGCTTCTCTAAACTGCTTCAACATGAATAATGAACAGGGGATACGTTTTATTATTTTCAAGTTGCCTGTGAGATAATTATAAAGCAACATGTTGCTGTCACTTTGAGCATATTTTCTCCAACTCCTTTTCTGAATGGATGTACTTAACCAGTTTGATTGTTGTTTATGAGGATGAAAAATAAAATTATTCATCAGTATGCTCTTTATCTCCACTTTCATGTATTTTATACAAGTGATGTCATCACACAGGAGACCTTCTTTTAGCGCAATTTTTCCAAACCCCATTTACAGCACACCAACACACAAGGTTAACAACCGATCTGAGCATAATAGATCATCGGTGGCCTCTGAGGGGATCCAGAAGGCTTGGCAAATGCAGTTGGACACACATGTAAGGGCACAAGAAAGGCAAAGTTATATACATGTTGGAAGGCAGTGCTCCCAAGGGAAATAACGAAAGGGAAAGGCTCTGTGATTCCATAGGAAAGGGCTCCCTCCGCTTCGCTGTCATTTGGAAAGCATTTCTCTCCTATAAAAAAACAACTACGTAATAAGCATGGATTTTCTGGCATTCAAAGCTTTCTAGCAATAATTACTTAAACATTGTTGTACATGTTCCTATTGCTATTTTTTTAGATGCATCATTCCTGGCCACAAGCACATATGGAATATTTGGTGCAAGCACGCCACTGCTGCCTGCCCCGTGAATGGCAGCCTCGGGCACCAGAACTGGAGTCTTAGCTGCAGGCCAGTAAACCTAGGGCACCAGAGCAAGGAGCAGGCAGAAGTAGCCCCTGCCCCCGAGGCAATGAAGTATATTCCTACCACAGAAGGAAGCACTTGAGAATGTCACAAGGACTATCAAACTGGTGCGTAGGATGCTCAGAAAACAATAAAGGCAAAGAGACCAAGACGGTCTCTGCCTGAATAGGCTTCCACACTGCAGCAAATCAATTATTGTGGGAGATCACACAGGTTAAAGGCCAGCTGCACCTGGAAAATCAGAAAATGGGGAAGAATTAAAGGGAAAACTAGATTACTAAGGGCTTCATAGATGTTAATGACCTCGAGGTCAACATGTCTATACAGGAGAGGAAATCTTGAATGCGGATATTTAATGATGAACTTGCCCTGTAAGTAAACATTCCCTTCCACTCAGACAAAAAGAAGGAAAATAAAAGTCTGATTTCCGTGGAAAAGTTCCAAAAAGCTCTCCAGATCTGTGGTATAAGCACATCATACATGGACGGCATCCCTATTTGCTACACACACACTGAGTCCCCACCCAGCTCGACAAGGCAGGGTGTGGGATACAGGGAGTCCCGGGGCATGGGTGTGCTGTGAGATGAAATGGCGATAGGGGCTTGGCCCTTGCATGGCCCGCTATCAAGCTCTGAGCCCAGGGCAGGTCCTATTTGCTCACGAGCTGGCTTACCCCACACTGACCCTAGGACACGGGGCCACACCAACTACTGAGATTCACTCAGTGCATCACCATAGCCAGCGCAAGGCAACACCTCTCCAGACGGCTCCAAAAATCAGAGATGAGTGAATTAGATGCATTTTTTTAATCCTCTAGTTTAAACCTTTCCTTAATGCAATTCTAGTTGCATAAATAGAAGTGGGCCTGTTGGGCATCATATATGTGTCAGGATATCCTAGGTCCTGTAAAGCACTGACATGATCTGTATTTCTCCCATGGGAGGACCAGAAACATAAAGCAGCTCTCAGGGTGGATGGGAGCAAGTGACTTGTTCATGCTTGCTTAGGACTTTTGGCCTGAATGAGACCAGGGTTGAGGTTGTGGCCAATCCCCTTCACCACCCCACACCCCACACACATATTCTCACATACCACCCAAAGCACAAAGAGGTTCTTCTGATTTCTTGAGCCATTGAAATAACAATATCATATAAAGGAGGAATTACTTCTCTTTTATCCATAAGAAACCTAAGGTGTAGGGTTAAAAAGACTCTTGAAAGAAGGAAGAACAGAATCTAGGTCTCCTGGCTTTTAGTTCCAGTCAGTGGCTCTGCGTATGGATTTTCAAATCCAAGGCATATCCTCTGAAGCAGTACAAGTGTTGTTTCCCTAAGGAAGGTGCCCCAAGCGATGTCATAGGTGTCAGGAAAAATACATCAATAAAAGTACAAAGAAAAACAACTGGGTTCTAATAGTCAATTAAGTTTAGAAGAATCTGTATGAAACCACATGACATAAACTTCTTCCCTACAGATTTCTTAGCACATTTGATATGTGAATGTAAATTGTCAGTCTGTAAGAGGGATTATTGGACCCTGAACTCTATCAATATATGTCTATCTGCCTATTTATCTATCTCTCTATCTCTCTATCTATCTATGTATCTGTCATGGAGCATCTTTCAGATCAGCATTTCACAGGCCTACTGGAAAAAATGTTAACCTTGAATCCTTGGCAAGGTAGGACATGTAAAAAATTATGTACCAAAGTGACCACCCACGGCTGAGTCTAAAGGCCATACTGTCCACTCTCCAACCCTGCCATGATACAACAATTCCTAAAGCAGAAAGAAGTCTTCACACATACATTCCCCACCCCCTCCTGGGTTTATTGATCTTTTGCAGCTGAAGAGTGAAGTAAGTTGAAACAAATTAGTGGACACATTGAAAATATAAACAGAATCTTACCCCAGCTATACTGATTTGCTCATCCAACATTTTGAAAGAGATGCTGCTAGTGAATCAAGTTTCATAACTATGGAGCCGCATCCTGTGATTCCAGCCCACACTTTAAAGGACAATCATGACCTCAGAAAGGTTTTCAAAGGGGAAATTATACATCAATGATTAATCAGATGCACTTTCCTCTTCAGCAATTTAATTTACTAGCTTCAGTTTGTAAGAAACTTACTTGTTTGCCCAAGTGACAGTTTCTATTAGTGCTCTGCTTCTGATGAAAACATTTTTATTATTTTAGCACAATTTCTGAAAATTAAATTACCTAGAAGCAAATAAAAGGACAGAGATTTCTTTTATAGCTCCAGGAAAAAAAGTTCTCCCTGGGATGTGGATGGGGAACATGTGATGGACGGTGTGGTTATTTGAGCTGGACCTTGACAAATGAATAGCAGTTTACCAATTGGAGAAAGACAAGGGGTTGGCACTCCAGGGTGAGAGAACAGCATGTGCAAAAGCATAAAGGCACAAAACATCCTGAATATTTCAGAAATAGTGGGAACTCCAGTGTCAGTAGGATATAGGCATATAGCATAGAGTGACAGATACAGCTGGGAAGGCTTTGGAAACCTTATTATAAAGGACCCTGTATGCTATTCCAATGAGTTTAAAGCTTATCCTATAAACTGCAGGCCACAGTTTCTAAGCATGGTAGTTTTATATGTGTTTATTTATATATGTGTTTTTAGGGAGACAATCTTAGGGAAAATGGAGAAAATGCACTGCAGCAGAGAGACTGGTGACCAGAGTGATCAATCACACAGCTGCTGCAAAAGTCCCAAGGGAAGAAACTGGGGGCAAGGCCAAAACTGAGAGGCCATTCTGAGATGACATGGCAAGGTTTAGAAACTTAACTAGACGAAGGTTTAAAGACAGCCCCCAGGTTTTCTAGATGTATGGTACTATCATTGAGAGAGCTCAGGATTGCAGAGGAAGATAAAGGTTTAGAGGGATTAACTAACAGAGCATATTTTGCCTAAGCAAAACTGTTAAAATGGGCTCAGGTCAAGGTGTGAAGAGGAAACCAACTCTCCTATTCTTACCGGAGCTGCTACTGCAAGGCCCAGCCAGACCACAGTTTCTCATCTGTGGTCTTGTTTGATTTTAGGGATTATTGTTTTTCTGAATCTGAGCCTATCAATTTATAAAATACCCACACCCACCTCTTCAATAGGACCAGAAGTTATCATAAATCATATTGAGTTTGTGGCGATATCTTTAGCTTCAGCAAATAATGAGTCGGATCAACTCCATCTTAATGTGCCTTGCTCACCAGGTAGATATTTCAAAATGCTTCCTGCTGTGTGGGATCGTGGCGTAGACATGGGAAATGGAAAGATAAGTCTTTTGACCCCACCTGGTCACACCTAATTTAAGTAAATGCTGTCAAGTACGAATATAAGAAAGGCTTCTCTTCTGGTTTTACACCTGCCTTCTCCTCCACGCCACTGCTTTGGGGAAGCCAAGATGAAGCTCACAGTGAGTAGATTTTTCCTTTAGGATGTATTATCTTATAATTGAAAACTGTTAACATTCTGAGCTAAGGGGGTCTGCTTCTTATGACAATCTTACCATAATGGAAAAACTTGCTCACACACACAAAAATCTTTCTTTTCATGGAATTGTGGCATTTATAAGCATTTCTATAGAGAAAGATAAGCATACTTGGAATGGACAGCTGTGTGAGCATTTTATTGCATGCTATCTTTAAAAACATTATTTTCCAGTTCTCCTGATTCAGGTCCGGACACAGAGCAGGCAGTCCCTAAAACTCAGAAAATGCCTGATTTTTCTCCACATTCTTGAATCCCTCTTTTGACCAAAACTCCTGAGCATTTTCAGGCAAGATTAAAAACTTATTATCAAATCAAACCAATGAGGGATTTACTGCCTCATTCTCTGCTGTGTAATCAATCTCCAAATAAAAAAGGTTTGCATGGACCCTGTCCATTGTCATTTATTCATCAAAAACACCTGAAGCACTACACTAGCGCAGCATCTTCACTGTGACTCCAGATAAAAGTCTGAGAGGATGAATAGCAGGTGGATGAATAAATTCTGCCAAAGGAAATAGTCGTAGTGTGTGTCACTTATAACAAGATGCCGAGGGACTAGAATCAGATGAATATTTTCATGTTCCAACATACTAAACACTAAAATATAACAGGCTCTACTTCCTAATAAAGTTGCAAATGTAAAATAATCATCTAGAGATAAGTTGTAAAACAGCAAAGTAAAAAGAAAAAAAGAGCTCTGAACATCTGTCAGATGTGGTTTCTCTTCTAGTTCTGCCACGAACAAGTTACAATCTTAGCCAACAAAACCTTGGCCAAGTTACTTAACCCCTGAAGCTCAACTTCCTCATTTGTGAGATGATCGTGTTATACTAGCAGATCTCTAAAATGTCCTCCACCTCTGACTTTCTAGGAGACTAATTTTATCTCCTTCTTAAGCTACCAGAAGAAAAATTAAACAAATTTTTTAAATTACCTTGAATCGCCAGTGCACATCTCAAATCATTTTGCCCCAAAGGATGCCCTGTGTAGAGCTCAGTATTCTGATAGCCAGTGCCACATACCCAGTCAAAAATGACTAATCTGGATATTCTGGGACAATTATTAACTTCCCTTCTGCTAACCAGCCTTGACAGCCAGACTCTCCATCCTTAGCCTCTCATCACCAGCATCCAACCTGCTTACTAATCCATTGCTTCCAAAAAAAATTTTTTAAATAAAAAGAGTACTTCTGCTCTTAGGATGTCTAGGAAAGGAAGAAAGCATCCCAGATCCAACAGGAAAATTAGCTCAAATCATTTTCAAGAGTAATTCTCAAAACTTATATCCATTTTCCTATCATGTATGCTATACATTTTCAAACTTATTTTTCAATAAACTGACACTTCACAGGTTTTTCATGAGATCTACACTAAAAATTCCAAAACTATTTGTCATATTAATGTAATTACTATCAGTAATTCACCTGCAATCCTACATTATCATCGAAACTTTCTACAGGTGAAAAAAAATACGAGGTCAAAGAAGAAAAGACAGACCACTCAACAGAGCAGTGAAATTAGTATCTTCCATAAGCCTGGTTAGAGAAAGAAAGAAGAGGACATTGCTTTGCCATGTGAAAATAGATCAGTGTTATTTGTGATTTTCAGATTATCTTTGCTGGACTTCTTGGCATCTTTCTGGCTCCTGCCCTTGCTGATGTGGTAAGTATCACTTTTTAAAATATATTGCTCAAATGCATTTGCAAAGAAATGTGTTATTATATCACTGTCAGTTTCTTATCATTGATAAATTTCAATCTATCCAGATCGGTGGTGACAGCAGCAGTGCTGTAAGTGGGCAGCAGTCAGTGAGTGTCAACAACGACAATAATGTGGCCAATGTCGACAATAACAATGGATGGAACTCGTGGAACACCTTGTTGGACTATGGCACTGTAGGTAGTCAATACGCAATTTCCATTCCTTACAAATGTGATGCTCCTTTTTTAACAACAACAAAACGTATGCTAGCCATAAAAGAATTAAAATAAATTCCAAGTGCACATAAGGATAGAGAAAAAGGGCCTATTTTGCTCAGCCAGTGTCACTCCTGGATATAATTGGTATTAATAAGTTTCCCACTATCAGTTAAAATTCAAACCTATAAACAGTAATTAGGACCCACTATGCTCAAGAGATTATGAGCCCTTAGACAAATATGAGCATCCTTTTGCTTCCTACAGATGCCCTCACTGATAATAGACCTATATACTGTTACTGTTGGCAAAGCATAGTGCGTCGCACTCTAGCTTTGATTTCCTTCTAAAGAGACTGAAATTAAAATTTCACTTGTAACTCCAAAGGGCCAAAGGAAATGTGAATAACAATATTAATTGGTCAAGGAAGAAAAAAGAAAAAATAAACCACAACCCTTGGTTCTGATTAGGAGACCCAACTCTGCAATTCCCAGCTCTGTACTTAACAAACTTTGTACTTTTAAAAAGTCAACTCTATATTTCAGTTTTATCATCTGATCAATTAGAAAACAAATTTCTCTCTTACCTGCCTCTTTAAAATGTTGTGAAGTTCAAAGGAGATTAAAATGCAATTGCAATTTAAAGTTTATTTCAGCGAGACAGACATGTATCAAGTGACGGTTGCCATGCTAGGGCCTGAAGATAAAGCAACAAGTTAGACACTGTCTCTGCCCTTAAAGAGTTTGTATTCTATCCTCACAAATGTTAGCAATAGATATGATTGCAGAACAGGCCCAGAGACACTGCTCTTTTCCCAGTTCATCATAATTTTGGAGCTCCATTTCCCTTAGCTGCTGAAACTGATTCCTGATGAGAAAAACTCCTTGGAGAACGTATTCCCTGCTATCTACCACCTTCTTTAACAGGGCTTCGTTGCCACCAGACTCTTTAGCAAAAAGGCATGCATTGTGCACAGAATGAACAAGAACTACATGCCCTCTCTGCAAGCCCTTGATGTACTGGTCAAGGAAAAGAAGGTAAAAATAAGTCGTTTTATTTTTGCTCGAGGCAGACCTTATGATCTCCAGTATAATGAGGGTCACAATCATTCCCTCTTGACCACAGTATGTTGTAATGTGCAGCACTAAAGTGAAAGAGGAACTGGCAGTTGCCTGAGGAGAAACAGCTGCCTCCACACTCAGATGCTGTGGCTTACGTCTGCCTCTACAGAGGCTAAGGCTAAGCAGAATACCTGGTAATCTTTACTGCTAGAGGGTCGACTACTCAAGCCAATGGGAGCCCTTCGCCCTTCTACAAGGACATTTTTTCACAACAGTTGGATTAGTCAATTAACCAATAAAAGTAGAGGATACCCAGCCAAGTTTGAATTTCAGATAAACAATGGATAACTGTTTTAGCATATGTATGTTCTATGCAAAAATATGTGATTTTTATACCAAAATATGATTTAGTGTTTATCTGAAACTAAAGTTAATTGGCAGGCAACCCTAGTTGGAGTGGCTGGGGAGAAGGGACCTACCATTCTTTAAAATGTTTGCCTGAGTTCGTATTTCTATCACTGATAACTGTGTACCTTTCACTGACAAGGTAAAGAAAATGAATGAACCACATTCTCAGAAACTGATTATTAGATAGCTCAATCCAAGAAATCTAAGATGACCAAATGAGATCCAAGCTTCAGAATAAATTTAGCCTCAGACTTCTGCTTTTATGAGAAGCTGAGGTTTCAAAAAAGTCCCTTGGGGCACAGAAAGTCTGAGCTCTATAGGGCTGGAATTGGCTCCTCTTCATTTTGATCACAGAAATTTTGTAGCCAAGCAACACCTGCTCTTGATCTTGTACCCAACCTTTAATTCAACAAATAACTGGGTTCAGCATTCATTCTCTCTCTTCCTTTCCACTGTCTTCACACTCAGCTTCAAGGTAAAGGACCTGGGGGACCACCTCCCAAGGGCCTGATATACTCAGTCAACCCTGACAAAGTCAATGACCTGCACCAGTATGGAAAATCCATTTCTGTCATGTGCAAGGGGATTCCAACGTACATGGCTGAGGAGATTGTAGGTGAGTAGCCTTTCTACTCTGGACTCCAAGTCAGTCCTGGTAGAATTGTCAGGCTATTCTCAGGCATATCCACATAGGACACCAGTTGGCTGGGAAATAGTGATCAAAGCTAACATTCATATAGCACTTACTCCATGCCAGGCACTATTCTATATGGCTGAAGTATGATAAATAATTTGCTCCTGGCAGCAATCTTGTGTGATAGGTTCTATTATTATTCTCAATTTCTGGATGAGGAAACTGAGGCATAGAGCAGGGTCACAAATCTCTTGCCTGGGTCAATTCCAAGCATTTTGGCTGTAGATTCTGCGCTCTTAACCACTCTGAAACACTTCCTTTCAAGACTGAAGCAGGAGTAAACACAAGATATAGTCAAAGGAATGCATTAATTGCTAAATGGAAAGGGAATGCCAATAAACCTATTGACTTTTTGTAGCTCAGTCACTTAACTTCCAGTATTCAAAGAACAACTTACACAAGAACAAAGTATCCACCTAGGAACCTCAGCTAACAGCAACTTTCTAGGTCTCTGAGTTGATTGATTTAACATGTTAAATAGATATAGATAGATAGATGGATAGATAATAGATAGATGATAGATGATAGATACATAGATGATAGATGATAGATAGATAGATAGATAGATAGATAGATAGATAGATAGATAGATAGATAGACCAACTGATCTTGAAATGTGTGCATAGTTTGTAAACTGTGTGAAATCCCGAAGAGTCTTTGAAGAGAAATTGATACTGGTTTCTTCTTTTTAATCAGGGGCAAGCCTGGCTTTTAACTCAGAAAAATGCATCAGTGCTGATATACTCTGGATTCTGAACATTTCCTTCTGTGGAAGAGCAGTGGAGAATTAAAAAAAAACTTGCCATAGATTTAGTCACTTGTAACTCCATGCAGAAAACTCCATGCAGAAAAATATGGGTTCTAATGGTTTCCTTTATCATGTCATTCTGAAGTGTTTTCTGCTAGTTATGTTTGGCTTATTTAAGTTTGAATAAATCTACTTGGCATTGAATCCAATTTACAGTAAGATTACTTTGGACTTCTGTTTGAAGTGCAAGGATCATAGGGAAATGCGGTGGTGGTAAGTTGTCAAAGTGCATTAGTCCCAACTCCTAACCCATACTCAGGACCTGTCCCTTACAAAGAACCCCTTCAGGTGCATCAGATACTAGTAACCACAGCTCTGGGCATGGTTCCAAGACCATCCCAGTTGAGGTGCACAGTAACATTTCAGATAAGCAAGGGCTACAATCCACTCAAAGTAAATTAAAACAGAAAAGCAGGGTGGGGAATGTTACTACAAGGATATTGCATTATCTAAAATATAGTCTTAGGCCAAGAAAAACAGCTGGTATCAAATAGGCTGTACTGACTTCAAGCACAAGTCTCTTTCTCTCTCCCTGAAGCTATGTGTTAGTTCTTCTCTGCTCCTCTCCAAATTCTACTTCCCTCTTCTTTCCGTCTTGCAGATGGTTTTTCCTACTCATGGCAGAAGATCGCTGAATGAAAACATTAACCTTGTTAACATGTTAACAATGTCTTTCCAACTCAAAAGGTAATGTCTAATACTTTTCAATCCCAAATCCAATTTTCCTTGACCCTATTTGGTTCAAGAGTCCACAACTCCACTCACTGATGGCCATGGGACTGAAGGCACATGGTACATGTACAGCACTGAGGTCTCTACTAGAGGAGAAAGATCCCAGAGGAAACAGAGGATATGTTACAATGTTCAATGTGTTCAAATGTTGTGTATTACAATATGAAACTACAGTTCATTTAAAAAATTTCTCCCATAAATTACATTTCTTTTAAAAATCCTGATGCTGTAAGAGGATAATTCATCCGTTCTTGTGTCTTCAGATGGGATATCCCTAACTAACCTGCCGGGAGCCATGCTACTCAAGCTGTGTAGCAAAGCTCAGGCTGGAGGAAGACCCCCACAAAGCAAGGGCCTTTGCAGCTGGCTCCCCCTATTACCCACCTTGATTTTGTTATTCTCCATAATACTATTGGCTTTGTTTTTGCTTGCATTTTTGCCAAAGACTAAGCTAACCTTTGCTAAGCAGCATGGAAAGGAGGAGAACATAAACTTCCCAGAAGCTTTTCAGGACAGGATAGAATGTGCAGGGACCAGATGGCGATCTTGGCAAGGAATACTGAAACCTGCAGGTAGCTAGTCAAACATTGACTACCCCATCTCCACCTAAGTGGGAATGCCCCCCTTGTTTGCAATGCTAGTGAAACTAGTGATGAAGAGTTTTATAGGAAAATTAGAGAAATAGAGTTATAGGGGAATACTGAATGGAATAACCCTGTCTGACACTTAATCAATCTTCTCATATTTTCTTCCATCTGCTACTTCTATAGTTTTTCTTCTTCTTTCCTAATTACAGCCCTTTACTAGAATTTGTGCCTCATATGTGAAATTACCAAGTACCATAATTCTCCCAAGTGGTAAAGATACCTCAAGACAAGTGCTGGGCATAGAAGCCATGGAGCATAAGTCTGCAAAGAAGTGAAAAACTAACATTTTGAAAGAACATTACTTCTCTCTCACTTACCAGCTTTACATTTCCCTGTCTGGCCCCGGAAGATGGCTGGTTAGCCAGACAGGTAAGATTCCTCAAGGGAGGAACAACCTAAGACAGGCACAGTTGCAGGGGGGGCCATCAGGTGAGAAAATGGGGGCCAATAGAGGTGAGGCTTAGAACCTCACCACCCCCCCAGTTTTGAGAGAAATTGTCTACACCAGTGGATGTTTTGTTACCCTTGTCTGGCTTGGATTAATACCTAGTCTATAGGCACAAACCTGATCATCTACACTTGCCTTCTTACAGTTCTAAATCATGCTTTCTATCTTTATCTTACATCTACCTATGAGAGAATAAATATTATGAGGGGATAAAATGTACCCATTGCATTAAAAATATAGTAACTAACTGTAGTAGTGAGTGACCTGTATTTCACCCTGAGCTGATAGACTCCATAGTCACTGCTACATGCTGCACGTTTCTGTGGTCACATGCATTACTTAGAAACTGCTTTGCATAGAAATAAGAAACACAATACAGTCCATGTTGCTAAAAAAAGTTTAGATCAAGGAACAGAAAAAAAATCACCTATCTAACACTTGGCTAACCATGTATAGATTAGAAGGAAACAGAAAGAAAAAAGCTTGCCTATGCTTGTTAATGAAAAGAACAAATAAAAAATAATCATATCCTTGTGCAAGATGGTATAAATAAAGCTGTCATCAGCACTTTGTTGAGAGACCACCTCCATCTGACTTTGTGCCCTGTCCGTGCACCAACTCCGTCTCATCCTTTTGGGCTTCACACACCCCCGCTAGAGCTGGACTCTGGCACTAACCCTAGTCAAAAACAAAAAACAAAAAACTAAAGACACTGATTCCCACCACATTGAAAAGTTGAGCATTTACCAGGTCTTACTGGGAAGAAATGGTAGTAATTTTCTATACCCTGAGGCAATTTTATTGCTGTTCACAGAAAGTGTACTGCCACAGTAGTAGAACTTCCAAAATATTCCAAAACCATGAAATGTGGAAAACTGCCAAAGACCCATCAAAAATCAAGGTCTTAGATACTGGCCTATCACTATGAGTGAGAAAGAAATAAAACTATGACTCACAAACTGGATACAATGCCATGCAGCTAACCTTTGAGAACTGGTGAATCCCATAGTTCATAGAAGAATTGTCTAGCCACTATTTTAGGATAAGAAGTTAATTTAAATTCATTAGGAAGTTTAAAAAATTATGTACACCTATCAAAATATGTGAAGGAAAAATAACAAGAATTACAGGAGAGCTTAGTAATCTCACTAACCTAGTTATTTTAACACATATCTTTCCATAACTTATAGATGAAGCAGTTAAGGATATTTTTTAAATTTATGCGATTAACAAGCTTATTTTATGAACATATATAGAACACTTCAGAATACATATACTTCTTAAATAGTATGGGACATTTAGAAATAGTAATCACATGCTGAGGCATAAATCAGATCTCAAAAAATGTCAAATGACTGGCATCAAAAAGAACACATTTTTCTGACTTCAATTTAATTAACATTAATAAATATTCCCCTCCAAGTAAAACAAGATAGTTTCCTTTGTTTTGAAATTAGGCAGCATATTTCTAAATAACACATGAACCAAAGAAAAATTCATGATGACAAGTAGAATGTATTTAAAACTGTGCAATAATGAAAGCAAAAAATCTTGTCAGTAGCAGCTAGAGCAGTGTGTAGTGGACAATTTGTAGTCTTCACCATCCATTTTACAAAAGAAAGACTAAAAATTGAGTCAACATTCCACTTATAAAAATGAGGGAAAAGCATACAATTTCTAAAATAAGTAGAAGAAGAAATGATACTAGGAAGGATAGGTAGCCTGGGCAGTCCTTGCTGGGAGAGCTTGAGCAGCTGAGTTTCAGGAGGCCTCTGGGTGCCTTTAGCGGGGCATCCAAGCGGATTGGAGAGTTCAGTCACGTTTGCACCAACCGTGCTGCACGCCTTGCACATGAACAAGACTCTTTGCAAAGGAGTCCCCACGTTGGTGATGGAGAGCTGATTGATAGGACTAAAGATGGTGGTGTGAGAGGTGAGACAGAGGATTCCTCCTAAAACTGCATATTACATGAAAATATAATTAATACAACTAATCCTGAAAGAGCAATAGGAAGGAGGACTGCACCAGACTGCATACAACTGGAGAAAAGAGCAGACCTCACAGAACAAGGTAACATACCAATCCATGGCCCATGGTATCAACATACCAAGCCCTTCCCCCACCCCAGCTCACCAGCAGGAGGAAGAGAAACAAGAGTGGGGAGGGAGTGAAGGCCTGGGACTGCCGAATACCTAACTCTGGAGATCTGCTCTGGGAGCACAAACCTACATTTCATGGTGCTTTCATGATACTCTCATGATTAGGGGATTAGAAAGCTAAGACAGACAGAATTCCTGGAGAGACTGAGATTCCAGCCACTTGTGGAAATCAGGGATCCATACCCAGCTGCACTGGAACAAAAGAAAGGTAGGCAGTCTGAAAAACTTCTTAACAGCAAGAGAGTGGCTAAAGAGACAAGGATTACACAGAGCTTACTGCTCAGGAGAAGGGCAGGTAGACAAAATTGTCTGGGTGCACTCTTCCCAGCAGGTTGGGAGTTTTCATGATCTTCAGGTGCACCAGTTCCCTGGCTGCCTACACAGCTTGAAGGACCCCCTCTGTGATAGGCAGCCTACTGCGCCTTTCTCCCAGCCAGCCCCAGCTGGCTCGCAAACTGGCAAACTCTACCCTGGCGTTAGGCCAGCCAGAGGGAAGACCTGTCTATAGCAACTACAAATGCAAAGCATAGAGCCTTACACCTGTGTGCTCAGCCCACTGGTTCAGGCAGTGGAGATAGGTATAGCAGCCAGGAAGCAGGAAACAGCTCTTTCCTCCCCACAGGCACCAATACCACTCCCCTGCAACCCACAACATTGCTTCAGGGGCTGAGCAGCTCCAGAGAGTACAGCTTCTGGACACTAGAGGGCGTCATATACAAATATGAAATGCCAAAGGAACCTGGTTCAAAGTAAAATTGTGAATACAACTCCTGAGAAAGATTTAAATGACAATGACCTCAAGAATCTTCCTGAAAGTGAGTTCAAAATAAAAA